TTTTAAACGGTAATTAAACGCTGCAAGCTTCGGAGAGTCTTCTGAGAATAAGGTCGCGTATCCCTGCTGTTTAAAATCTCTAAAAATCCACCTCCATTTGTCGACTGTGTCAGATGAAGGTTCGCTCCGTCTGGCTTCAGGCTGATTTTTTTCTGCTATCCCGGTAAGCATTGCGGTCAGTTGAGCTGTGGTACCATCGCCGACAATCGTTTTGCCTGTGAATCAAAATTTCATTGATGTTTTGGTTGCCTTTGGATCGTTTTACGGTTACAGTTAGTATATGATTATTTTTCTATATTGCGTTCGGGTGCTTCTTTCTCCTTGTCAAAGAGTTCCGAGATTCCACCATCGCTACGATCCTTTTGGAAGTCCCAAAACTTCTCTCGCCGCCGCGTTATATGATCCCGCTCCAAGCGCCCTCTGCTAGATCGTCTATTATTCCAACTGGATAAACAGTTTAGTGATCGAAGACGGGACGGGACGAAAACGTGGAAAAGTCTAGTTGTTCCTGGAGATCCTATTGTCTGGCTTATAAGTGGTCACCCCAAAAAAGACTTTCGGCTCCTGATTAGGAACTTCACTTTAAATCTAAAAAGTGTGTGCTTAACTTGTATCAACTGGATATTTTTCTCTGTATTCTTAGCTAATGGTGACTTAGCTTCCGATCCAAAAAATAACTCATTTCGATGAATAAAGATTGTTTAGGAACCTTCACTCTTTTGAGTGACCTTCACTGAATGCGATTTCGTCACACGCGAACAAGTGAAAAACCTAACAGGGAAAAAATATTTAGTAATACGATGAATCTAACCTTCTAGTATGACTGAGTTGAGGTTCTTGGTCAAATATTCCAAAGTGTTTGGCATCTTTCGTTTGAAGTTAGCCGCCGAGGTGGAGTCGAACATGATAAGGGCAATATCAAGCGGAATCCCACCAGGCTTCACCGGCCTAGACACCACTTCCTCCTTTGGAGACACCTGCATATGTACTTCACTCTTGACGTCACTGGAAGTGGTGATCATATCAACTCGGACAAAGTCAGCTTTAACTGTTACTTTGCCCTCGAATATTCCTGTGAAGTGATTTCAAAACCTTTGTATTGTTTGAGATTGTAACTTACCTATCTTCTTACCTGTCCTACATACCTACCTGTCTGCCTACCTACCCACCTTCTTGCCTATCTGCCTGCTAAGCTTGCCTCCATGAATACCTATCTGCCTACCTACCTACCCACCCACCTATACTTATATTACTTATCTACTTACCTACCTGCCTACATGTATTTAACTATCCACCTATTTGTCCACTAACCTACCTACTGACATTATCAGCCTACCTTCCTTCCTTCCTGCTCGATTCCTGCCTACCTACTTACCCACCTATTAGCTCACCTACCTAGCGGCATACTTACCTGCCTGCCCGCCTGTCTGTCAGATGTCTGCCTGCTTAACCACCTACCTATACCACTTACTTACCAGTTCCAGGAAAATGTTTTCTTTGAGATACGTTCCATGAACCCTGTAAGTCAAGAGTGAAAAAAGAAAAGATGTCCAAAAATGCTTGCTTTCATCTTTCATCTACTACTCTAGGGATGTTAAAATATCAAACGTACTTGCTTAACATTATTACCGACGCTTTCAAATAACACTTTGCAAAATGTCTACCAAATTTAAACAGAAGAATATGCTGAGGAAGGGATAAGTTGTGCTAGATTTTTTAAAAAGGTCGTCCTCTGCACAGAAATGATTACGTCTCGTTATCACAGTTCTGCAAATAAATCCAGTCATCCTCAAACATGTTTTAATCGGGTGGTTCTTTTCTCATGGTGCCTTATACTGGGCTCTCTCATGAACCACTTTTTTACGATAACTGCGGAAATTCTCGCGCGCTCATTAGCTCATTTTGATTGTCAATAAGGGAACAGACATAGACGTATTTATAATTATCAACGAGCGAGAGAGAACAATTTGACAATTTGTTATTGTAAAAAACAAATCGACGTCAGTTTTTTCATGCGTCTGTGTTGTTATTGAAAATGAATTTCGTCATAACATTGTCAAAGTAGTCTGCGGATCCACTCGGCTATGGCCTCGTAGATTCACAGCTTACTTTTATAATGTTATGACGAAATACATGATCAATAACAGGACAGACGCATGAAAAACTGACGTCAATTTGTTAAATAGATCAGTCAACAGTCTTCGGTGTGAAAATTGAACACCGCCCACCACTATCAATACGATAAGTTTTCAAGTCTGTTGTACCTTTTTTGCTAGAAAATGCACAAATGGTCGATTATAAAGACCAATGAAGCGTTATTGTGGAGTGTCGTACTTGTTGGAGCAGTCCCTGTGTGCGTAACAGCTACATATCTTCTGAAGTCATCACCAGTCTAGTTTTCATCGATCATTTTTGGCATAATACTTGGCTTTAGGGTGCTAGGATTTTTAGGCTACGGTAACCTAAAGCTAAAACAGTATCGTGTCATGTTGCAATTCCTGCGGACGCTATGGTATTCGAAAGATTTTTGATGAATGGAGTTTGTAATATATTTCCCAAAGAAAAGTAAACACGAGGAAATGCACTATAAATTATCTGCAATTTGAAATCTGCAACGCAGTCAGTGCTGTCATCCTTTGTTAGATATTTTCATTTCTTTGGGTATGAATTAGTATCTGTGTGATCTTAGATCAAGAATCCGATCATAGGTGACCATAGATTCTCTCAAAGAAACGCATTCTTAGTTCACATCAGGCTTCCCTTAATACACTGACATACCTGGTTACGATCAGCCACTGTTTTGCACCATAGTAGCAGGAACATTTTTTTTTTACACTGTGGTGATACATTACTTTGACATAAATTTATAATTGCCGCTAGACTATAGGTCCAATCTTTAAACGCAGCTGACAAATTGAATTACATTTTCGCACCCTGATAAATTTTTTTCATTAACTTTCGTAATATTTTGACTTGACTAGAACAAAATTCTCTCTCGCCATTTGTTTTAAGTTTTATCTATCCGTTTTGGTCTACAAACACTTAAGCGCTAGTTGGATTTTAATACGTGATCCCTTGTCGGCTCGTGATTCCTTTAAGTTCGTTTTATTTTTATTTTCTATTCAATATCAATTGCTTTAGCCGCAAATATTAAATTATTTATAAGTTATAAGCTGTAGTACTCAGTCGCAATTAAATCACCATTTTGGGTGCTTTTCAATTACGAGCTGAATGCAATAAATCTAAGATCGACTGGATTCGAAAAGAAACGAGACGATTATTGATTTGTCACGTTTTCGCTCGATAGACTTTTCATTGAGCCGTCTCCAGACAGGAAGGAAATCACCGGTTCATTTCACTCTCGCATCTACCCACAGCTTATAACATCTTCAGACAAATCTGGGCAAAACAGAACGGTATAGAATACTCACAGGCGTTGCTTTCATTCGTAGTTTCGGCTGCATGGTCGGCAAAGCCAAGTTCCACAAGTTCCTTGGAGCAGAAAGCTCAACCCCGAAATCATCTCCACGCGGTCGTTCAATTATTCGGTACTGCACAGCAGATATTTCTGCCCCTTTCACTTCCAGCACATTGTTTCTATACGTCGAATATCTCTCTCCTGAGCACTGTAGCTTCCCGAGATCTGTCACATATTCCAGTATGCTTGGGTGAAACGGATCCAAATTGGGCAGCCGACAAGCCGAGCTGTAGTTTCCTATTCGCTTGACATATTTTACCCGTAGGTTCCTGTTAAACTGCGAAATCGATCTCGAAAGAAATCCATACACCGAGAAATACAGAACTATAAATATTCCGCACCAGACTATGAGCATGATAAAAGCGATGTGCAGGCGACGGAACTGAATTCGGCGAAAAAACCAGTATCCAAACATTCTCCTTACACGACTGCTGTTAATAAACGACTGGTACCAGTGCCGATGTTTATTAAACTACAATAGGTTAGACCGCACGCTTTTAAGGTGCCAAATTTTCCGTTAAAAAACACATCAAGACGAATCACGGTAAACCCCACATCCTTTAATAAGATTTTAGCGCTTTAAGAGCCAGACGAGCAATTAGAGGCGCGGTTGTCAACCCGGTGGTCTATTCCAGGCTCTCGCCGTTTCGTGGTAAAGTTTAATCAACCGTATGTGGTTTCAGGCCATAAGGCTCGTCCTATTCATATATACTACCCAATAACAATGATCTCACATAATGGATTCATAGGCAGGATTTTAGTCGGAACCCGACACGAAAAACAAGGTAAGTGGGAAAAAAGTCGAGTTGAAAATCAAAAAGGCGACAAGTTCAAGCGGGTGGCTAGAACCCTGATTAAGCTCTTAGTAGTGAGAGACTTATGAAATACTGTTTTGATTCCGCTGTTCTCCTCGTTGGTCTGGGTTGATCAAAACCTGGGCACGCCAATTCAGGAATAAATGTTAATCGTGGTTTATTCCGCTTGCGGAAACTTTTTTTTTCCTACTGTTTCTTTTGAGAAGTGAAATAAGGGCAAAGCATATAACCAAACATCTCACTGAAACGTGCCAAAGCTGAAATGAAACTTCACAACATGCTAGGTCGTGCTGCAGTAGCTAGCTAGTCTGGTGTTTAGCCTACGGGTGCATAAATGGTGTATATCGCAGGTGTATAAATGGTGACTGGCTCAGATATATACACCAGGTGTTTAAGTGCATCACCAACATCTTGTGGTTATGGACTAGCACTTCGGTCAACCCATCTAGCGGCACTAGCAATCGTTTAGCCATTTCGTGGTGAAGTTTAATCAACCGCATGTGGTTTCAGGCCACAAGGCTCGTCCTATGCATATATACTACTCAATAACAATGATCTCACATAATGGATTCATTGGCAGGATTTTCTCTCTCTATTTCCCTCTGACCCCTGCCCTACACGTCACCTGTTAAGGGTCTCGACCGAGCATTTTTTTAAGAAAGAAAAACGTAGCCAAACACAGTGAACATTCGATGCTGAGTCGAGTGTCATCTTGAAAGTCAATCTTAGTATTTGGAAAGTAGAACCTGTTGTTAAAGATTAAAATCAGACATTTCAGACTAAAATATCTATATAACTGTCTGTTGAAACGAACGCGCCAATTTTGACTGTAGACCCTCGAGTTAATAACAATAAAAAAATTGGCTACAACAGCTTGCTAATAATCTCTTGAAAAGATGGCAGCCAGAGATAGAGGAAGACTGACGAAAATTCCGATTGAGAACTGGCTGATAACCCTGGAGCACCCTGAACGACAGACCAAGCGGCAAAAGAGCTCTAAACGCAGGCTCGTCATTTCCTTTTTCTTGTTACTTTTTGTATAAAAATTGGTACCTTAATAATTTAATTAACCTACTTATTGTCATGACCTGATGTCAGGAGATTGGGAACAGTAACAATACTTCCGTAAAAGTGGAAATTTCTTCGCAATGCAGTACGGTTGGTCCTTATAAGCGTCAATACGACTGACATCACCTGCAAGTGAAGGAACTCCTTTTTTCATTTTCACAGAAGCTTCGTAAAATCCTTCATTTGGCGATGTTACAAATTGCAGCTGATACAATGTGTCATCTCCAAGTGTATTGGTAGATTTGCCAGCGAATGTCAGCCCACATGAATCGCATTCACCATCGCGTCTAGTTTTATCAAAAAACTGCATTTTTTCACTTGGCATGTCCCGAAACGCGCCAGTAATTTTCTTTAAAACGAGTTTGTGACACAGGTTTTCTAGGTGCGAGTTTTTGAACATTAAATTGTTCATGAACGTGACCACAAACTCCGCCAATTCCTTGATTAAAGGTTCATCTGTCGAAATCTCTTCCAAGTTAAGACAAGGACACCAGTGTTCCTCAACGCCCGCGTTTTCGCATGTACGGCTCTCCTTGTCAATCTTGTTAAACAGGCTTTCGCCTGTTGTTATTTCGCTTGCCGGATAACTTGGGTAAGACAGGATATGACGAAGTGTAGCATACACGTCAAAGGGTGTGGTCAGTACTTTGGAGTTGTGAACAAGATTGCTGTGTAGGTCTGGGTACTTCTCAATAAACCATTTAGGAAGCGTGATTGACATAAACGGAAGGCGTTCCTCCAATTTTCCTTGAATTGTTTTCCTTAAGTCAGAAAACCGGGCTCCATGGTCACCAAATATGATCAACAGAGTGTTTGCCAAAAAGTTCTCGTTTTCTAATGTTTGCAAAATGCTTTTCAAGTCATCATCGACGTAACCAATTGCGTTCTGGTCATCGTGAGAGATATCTGCGTGCGTTGTCAACGAAAACTTTGGCTTGCTTTTGTACGCACGAAAGAAACTCAACAAATATTCCAGTGAGATGTTATGAGCAGCTCTGCCACTGATGCAAAAATCTTCGAGAAGCTTATCTGCCTCTAACCAAAACGGCCTGGCGTAGTGGTCTGTCGGTGGTTTTTTAAAGCCTTTTAAACGGTAATTAAACGCTGCAAGCTTCGGAGAGTCTTCTGAGAATAAGGTCGCGTATCCCTGCTGTTTAAAATCTCTAAAAATCCACCTCCATTTGTCGACTGTGTCAGATGAAGGTTCGCTCCGTCTGGCTTCAGGCTGATTTTTTTCTGCTATCCCGGTAAGCATTGCGGTCAGTTGAGCTGTGGTACCATCGCCGACAATCGTTTTGCCTGTGAATCAAAATTTCATTGATGTTTTGGTTGCCTTTGGATCGTTTTACGGTTACAGTTAGTATATGATTATTTTTCTATATTGCGTTCGGGTGCTTCTTTCTCCTTGTCAAAGAGTTCCGAGATTCCACCATCGCTACGATCCTTTTGGAAGTCCCAAAACTTCTCTCGCCGCCGCGTTATATGATCCCGCTCCAAGCGCCCTCTGCTAGATCGTCTATTATTCCAACTGGATAAACAGTTTAGTGATCGAAGACGGGACGGGACGAAAACGTGGAAAAGTCTAGTTGTTCCTGGAGATCCTATTGTCTGGCTTATAAGTGGTCACCCCAAAAAAGACTTTCGGCTCCTGATTAGGAACTTCACTTTAAATCTAAAAAGTGTGTGCTTAACTTGTATCAACTGGATATTTTTCTCTGTATTCTTAGCTAATGGTGACTTAGCTTCCGATCCAAAAAATAACTCATTTCGATGAATAAAGATTGTTTAGGAACCTTCACTCTTTTGAGTGACCTTCACTGAATGCGATTTCGTCACACGCGAACAAGTGAAAAACCTAACAGGGAAAAAATATTTAGTAATACGATGAATCTAACCTTCTAGTATGACTGAGTTGAGGTTCTTGGTCAAATATTCCAAAGTGTTTGGCATCTTTCGTTTGAAGTTAGCCGCCGAGGTGGAGTCGAACATGATAAGGGCAATATCAAGCGGAATCCCACCAGGCTTCACCGGCCTAGACACCACTTCCTCCTTTGGAGACACCTGCATATGTACTTCACTCTTGACGTCACTGGAAGTGGTGATCATATCAACTCGGACAAAGTCAGCTTTAACTGTTACTTTGCCCTCGAATATTCCTGTGAAGTGATTTCAAAACCTTTGTATTGTTTGAGATTGTAACTTACCTATCTTCTTACCTGTCCTACATACCTACCTGTCTGCCTACCTACCCACCTTCTTGCCTATCTGCCTGCTAAGCTTGCCTCCATGAATACCTATCTGCCTACCTACCTACCCACCCACCTATACTTATATTACTTATCTACTTACCTACCTGCCTACATGTATTTAACTATCCACCTATTTGTCCACTAACCTACCTACTGACATTATCAGCCTACCTTCCTTCCTTCCTGCTCGATTCCTGCCTACCTACTTACCCACCTATTAGCTCACCTACCTAGCGGCATACTTACCTGCCTGCCCGCCTGTCTGTCAGATGTCTGCCTGCTTAACCACCTACCTATACCACTTACTTACCAGTTCCAGGAAAATGTTTTCTTTGAGATACGTTCCATGAACCCTGTAAGTCAAGAGTGAAAAAAGAAAAGATGTCCAAAAATGCTTGCTTTCATCTTTCATCTACTACTCTAGGGATGTTAAAATATCAAACGTACTTGCTTAACATTATTACCGACGCTTTCAAATAACACTTTGCAAAATGTCTACCAAATTTAAACAGAAGAATATGCTGAGGAAGGGATAAGTTGTGCTAGATTTTTTAAAAAGGTCGTCCTCTGCACAGAAATGATTACGTCTCGTTATCACAGTTCTGCAAATAAATCCAGTCATCCTCAAACATGTTTTAATCGGGTGGTTCTTTTCTCATGGTGCCTTATACTGGGCTCTCTCATGAACCACTTTTTTACGATAACTGCGGAAATTCTCGCGCGCTCATTAGCTCATTTTGATTGTCAATAAGGGAACAGACATAGACGTATTTATAATTATCAACGAGCGAGAGAGAACAATTTGACAATTTGTTATTGTAAAAAACAAATCGACGTCAGTTTTTTCATGCGTCTGTGTTGTTATTGAAAATGAATTTCGTCATAACATTGTCAAAGTAGTCTGCGGATCCACTCGGCTATGGCCTCGTAGATTCACAGCTTACTTTTATAATGTTATGACGAAATACATGATCAATAACAGGACAGACGCATGAAAAACTGACGTCAATTTGTTAAATAGATCAGTCAACAGTCTTCGGTGTGAAAATTGAACACCGCCCACCACTATCAATACGATAAGTTTTCAAGTCTGTTGTACCTTTTTTGCTAGAAAATGCACAAATGGTCGATTATAAAGACCAATGAAGCGTTATTGTGGAGTGTCGTACTTGTTGGAGCAGTCCCTGTGTGCGTAACAGCTACATATCTTCTGAAGTCATCACCAGTCTAGTTTTCATCGATCATTTTTGGCATAATACTTGGCTTTAGGGTGCTAGGATTTTTAGGCTACGGTAACCTAAAGCTAAAACAGTATCGTGTCATGTTGCAATTCCTGCGGACGCTATGGTATTCGAAAGATTTTTGATGAATGGAGTTTGTAATATATTTCCCAAAGAAAAGTAAACACGAGGAAATGCACTATAAATTATCTGCAATTTGAAATCTGCAACGCAGTCAGTGCTGTCATCCTTTGTTAGATATTTTCATTTCTTTGGGTATGAATTAGTATCTGTGTGATCTTAGATCAAGAATCCGATCATAGGTGACCATAGATTCTCTCAAAGAAACGCATTCTTAGTTCACATCAGGCTTCCCTTAATACACTGACATACCTGGTTACGATCAGCCACTGTTTTGCACCATAGTAGCAGGAACATTTTTTTTTTACACTGTGGTGATACATTACTTTGACATAAATTTATAATTGCCGCTAGACTATAGGTCCAATCTTTAAACGCAGCTGACAAATTGAATTACATTTTCGCACCCTGATAAATTTTTTTCATTAACTTTCGTAATATTTTGACTTGACTAGAACAAAATTCTCTCTCGCCATTTGTTTTAAGTTTTATCTATCCGTTTTGGTCTACAAACACTTAAGCGCTAGTTGGATTTTAATACGTGATCCCTTGTCGGCTCGTGATTCCTTTAAGTTCGTTTTATTTTTATTTTCTATTCAATATCAATTGCTTTAGCCGCAAATATTAAATTATTTATAAGTTATAAGCTGTAGTACTCAGTCGCAATTAAATCACCATTTTGGGTGCTTTTCAATTACGAGCTGAATGCAATAAATCTAAGATCGACTGGATTCGAAAAGAAACGAGACGATTATTGATTTGTCACGTTTTCGCTCGATAGACTTTTCATTGAGCCGTCTCCAGACAGGAAGGAAATCACCGGTTCATTTCACTCTCGCATCTACCCACAGCTTATAACATCTTCAGACAAATCTGGGCAAAACAGAACGGTATAGAATACTCACAGGCGTTGCTTTCATTCGTAGTTTCGGCTGCATGGTCGGCAAAGCCAAGTTCCACAAGTTCCTTGGAGCAGAAAGCTCAACCCCGAAATCATCTCCACGCGGTCGTTCAATTATTCGGTACTGCACAGCAGATATTTCTGCCCCTTTCACTTCCAGCACATTGTTTCTATACGTCGAATATCTCTCTCCTGAGCACTGTAGCTTCCCGAGATCTGTCACATATTCCAGTATGCTTGGGTGAAACGGATCCAAATTGGGCAGCCGACAAGCCGAGCTGTAGTTTCCTATTCGCTTGACATATTTTACCCGTAGGTTCCTGTTAAACTGCGAAATCGATCTCGAAAGAAATCCATACACCGAGAAATACAGAACTATAAATATTCCGCACCAGACTATGAGCATGATAAAAGCGATGTGCAGGCGACGGAACTGAATTCGGCGAAAAAACCAGTATCCAAACATTCTCCTTACACGACTGCTGTTAATAAACGACTGGTACCAGTGCCGATGTTTATTAAACTACAATAGGTTAGACCGCACGCTTTTAAGGTGCCAAATTTTCCGTTAAAAAACACATCAAGACGAATCACGGTAAACCCCACATCCTTTAATAAGATTTTAGCGCTTTAAGAGCCAGACGAGCAATTAGAGGCGCGGTTGTCAACCCGGTGGTCTATTCCAGGCTCTCGCCGTTTCGTGGTAAAGTTTAATCAACCGTATGTGGTTTCAGGCCATAAGGCTCGTCCTATTCATATATACTACCCAATAACAATGATCTCACATAATGGATTCATAGGCAGGATTTTAGTCGGAACCCGACACGAAAAACAAGGTAAGTGGGAAAAAAGTCGAGTTGAAAATCAAAAAGGCGACAAGTTCAAGCGGGTGGCTAGAACCCTGATTAAGCTCTTAGTAGTGAGAGACTTATGAAATACTGTTTTGATTCCGCTGTTCTCCTCGTTGGTCTGGGTTGATCAAAACCTGGGCACGCCAATTCAGGAATAAATGTTAATCGTGGTTTATTCCGCTTGCGGAAACTTTTTTTTTCCTACTGTTTCTTTTGAGAAGTGAAATAAGGGCAAAGCATATAACCAAACATCTCACTGAAACGTGCCAAAGCTGAAATGAAACTTCACAACATGCTAGGTCGTGCTGCAGTAGCTAGCTAGTCTGGTGTTTAGCCTACGGGTGCATAAATGGTGTATATCGCAGGTGTATAAATGGTGACTGGCTCAGATATATACACCAGGTGTTTAAGTGCATCACCAACATCTTGTGGTTATGGACTAGCACTTCGGTCAACCCATCTAGCGGCACTAGCAATCGTTTAGCCATTTCGTGGTGAAGTTTAATCAACCGCATGTGGTTTCAGGCCACAAGGCTCGTCCTATGCATATATACTACTCAATAACAATGATCTCACATAATGGATTCATTGGCAGGATTTTCTCTCTCTATTTCCCTCTGACCCCTGCCCTACACGTCACCTGTTAAGGGTCTCGACCGAGCATTTTTTTAAGAAAGAAAAACGTAGCCAAACACAGTGAACATTCGATGCTGAGTCGAGTGTCATCTTGAAAGTCAATCTTAGTATTTGGAAAGTAGAACCTGTTGTTAAAGATTAAAATCAGACATTTCAGACTAAAATATCTATATAACTGTCTGTTGAAACGAACGCGCCAATTTTGACTGTAGACCCTCGAGTTAATAACAATAAAAAAATTGGCTACAACAGCTTGCTAATAATCTCTTGAAAAGATGGCAGCCAGAGATAGAGGAAGACTGACGAAAATTCCGATTGAGAACTGGCTGATAACCCTGGAGCACCCTGAACGACAGACCAAGCGGCAAAAGAGCTCTAAACGCAGGCTCGTCATTTCCTTTTTCTTGTTACTTTTTGTATAAAAATTGGTACCTTAATAATTTAATTAACCTACTTATTGTCATGACCTGATGTCAGGAGATTGGGAACAGTAACAATACTTCCGTAAAAGTGGAAATTTCTTCGCAATGCAGTACGGTTGGTCCTTATAAGCGTCAATACGACTGACATCACCTGCAAGTGAAGGAACTCCTTTTTTCATTTTCACAGAAGCTTCGTAAAATCCTTCATTTGGCGATGTTACAAATTGCAGCTGATACAATGTGTCATCTCCAAGTGTATTGGTAGATTTGCCAGCGAATGTCAGCCCACATGAATCGCATTCACCATCGCGTCTAGTTTTATCAAAAAACTGCATTTTTTCACTTGGCATGTCCCGAAACGCGCCAGTAATTTTCTTTAAAACGAGTTTGTGACACAGGTTTTCTAGGTGCGAGTTTTTGAACATTAAATTGTTCATGAACGTGACCACAAACTCCGCCAATTCCTTGATTAAAGGTTCATCTGTCGAAATCTCTTCCAAGTTAAGACAAGGACACCAGTGTTCCTCAACGCCCGCGTTTTCGCATGTACGGCTCTCCTTGTCAATCTTGTTAAACAGGCTTTCGCCTGTTGTTATTTCGCTTGCCGGATAACTTGGGTAAGACAGGATATGACGAAGTGTAGCATACACGTCAAAGGGTGTGGTCAGTACTTTGGAGTTGTGAACAAGATTGCTGTGTAGGTCTGGGTACTTCTCAATAAACCATTTAGGAAGCGTGATTGACATAAACGGAAGGCGTTCCTCCAATTTTCCTTGAATTGTTTTCCTTAAGTCAGAAAACCGGGCTCCATGGTCACCAAATATGATCAACAGAGTGTTTGCCAAAAAGTTCTCGTTTTCTAATGTTTGCAAAATGCTTTTCAAGTCATCATCGACGTAACCAATTGCGTTCTGGTCATCGTGAGAGATATCTGCGTGCGTTGTCAACGAAAACTTTGGCTTGCTTTTGTACGCACGAAAGAAACTCAACAAATATTCCAGTGAGATGTTATGAGCAGCTCTGCTACCGATGCAATAATTGTATAGAAGTTTATCTGCCTCCAACCAAAACGGCCGGGCGAAGTGGTCCGTCGGTGGGTCTTTGAAACCGTGCAAACGGTAATTAAACGATCCAAATCTGGAATTGTCTTCTGAGAATAAGGTGGCGTATCCTTTCTGTTTGAAATCTCTAAAAATCCACCTCCATTTATCGACTGTGCCAGATGAAGACTCGCTCCGTCTGGCTTCAGGCTGTTTCTTTTCAGCTATCCCGGTAAGCATTGCACACAGTTGAGCTGTGGTACCATCGCCGACAATCGTTTCGCCTAGGAATAAAAGTGGATTTCATTCAAAAACGTCAGCTAGCCACTAAGCTATATTTCCACTGAATTAGTTACACCTACTACAAACCACTCCTCACCGATTATAATTAGTCCTCCCTGGTACCTAAAGGAGGTTGCTATTTTCATGATACTTTAAGTTTCTCTTGGGTAAGTTGTTAATGTGATTTTGTTTCGTGATCCTCAAGCGACCGAGTAAATGACCGAGTAATGATTGGAACTACTCATAATCAAACGGAAAAGCTTCCAAACTTATCCTTATGTTATTAATTACTTACTTATTAAGCCCCGGCCAAACGATCGACACATTTCAATGCAACATATCGCAACATTGTTGGCCCAGTATTTGCAAGCCCCAGCCAAACGATGGCAGCCTGGGCGCAACATTGGTGCACGAACCTGGCCAAACGACTACAACATCATGCAACATCCACAAATGTTGCGTGAAAAATTTGACCATTTTCAAATTTGAGCCAACAACACCCAACATGTCCCAACATGTCGCAACACGTCGCAACAGGGTGGCCAAATGCGCGCAACCTGTTAAGCCCAACAATGTTGCGATATGTTGCGTTGAAAGGTTGCTATCGTTTGGTCGGGGCTTTATGTTGTAGTCTTTTAAGCAGGTTCGTGCAACAATGTTGCACCTGGGCATGCGCACTACAGTCAAACCTGTATATAACGGTCACCCTTGGGAAATGGCCAGGTGACCGTTATATACAGGGTGACCGCTGTACACAGATAAAACACGATGAAAAAAGGCCCATAAAATGTCCGTAGTGTACTTTAAGGGAGGTATAGTAAAAGTCTACTGAAAGCTAATGAACAACGTTTTTAAGTGGAAAATCACTCAATTTACATTTATTGACAACAATTTGAAACAGATAAGTACAGTACAATGTTACAATCAGGTAACTATGACGAAAGTGAAAACAGTGTGGTTATGGTTGTGTTGTTACAGTTAGAGTAACTATTGTTTCAAAGCGACGGCACTTTAATGTTATCTGCCGCAAGCATGTGTTGGACGTAGGCGATGACATGTATTAGTAGTTGTACTAGTATTTGTATTTTTGCGAGACCCCTGTCTTGGTGGCTGCTATTTAACGAGCTGATAAATAAAGCTTGTCATGATTCTTTAATCGTAACCCAATTTCGTGACCGTTATATACAGGTAAAAGATAATGAAATTGTGTATTCAGGAAGTCTAAAGGGTGACCGCGTCCATTATATACAGGTGACCGCTATATGCAGGCCAACTTAACAGTAAATATAAGGGACGATTTTTGGGAAGTTGTTCAGTGACCGCTGTACACAGGGTGACCGCTATATACAGGGCCGTTATATACAGGTTAGACTGTAGTTCGATTTTCAATACCCAACATGTCGCAACACGTCGCTACAGGGTGGCTAAACGCGCGCGTCATGTTGCGATATGTTTTGCTGAAATGTTGCCATCGTTTGGCCGGAGCTTGCAAATGTTGGGCCAACAATGTTGCGATATGTTGTGTTGATATGTTGCGATCGTTTGGCCAGGGCTTTACTCCCCTTATGCCCGCTGGTTCATAGGCAAGTAAGGAAAAATGTCATAGGAAAAGAAAATTTATGTGCTATGTTACCCTTAAAGCAAGTTTGTTTGAGCTAGGGACCGCTGTAATATATATTTTCATGATTCTCGATCCTTTACTAGTTCAACAAGACAAATGGTCTTCACTAACCAGCTATTTGCATCGCAGGGCATAAATGTGAAATGAGAATGAGATGGGAATGTTTTCGGGGAGTTATCTCAACAACGATAGCAACCTTAGCAAGGTTTTGACAACAAACCTTCAAGTAAGATGGAGTTGAGGTTCTTGGTCAAATACTGCAGAGTGTTTGGCATCTTTCGTTTGAAGTTAGCCGCCGAGGTGGAGTCGAACATGATAAGGGCAATATCAAGTGGAATCCCGCCAGGCTTCACCGGTCTAGCGATCACTTCCTCCTTTGGAGACACCTGCATATGCACATCACTGTTGGTTCTCCAAGAAGAAGTGGTAGCAACATCGACTCGGACAAAGTCCGCTTTAACTGTTGCCTTTCCCAGAAATGGTCCTGCAGGAACATAGCGGCAAGAAATCAGGGATATATACACGCTATAGGGTGGAGAACCAATGGATAGATGGATGGAGAGATGGAGGCACGGAGGCACGGAGGCAGGCACGGAGGAAGGCACGGAGGCACGGAGGCACGGAGGCACGGAGGCACGGAGGCACGGAGGCACAGAGGGATAAAGGTATGGAGGAATAGAGGCATGGAGGGATGAAAGAAAGAAAATGATGGGCTGCATAGAACAGGAAAATAATAAATGAAAAAACTATGATACCTACCTGTCGAAGAAGATTTTCTTGATCCTATAAGCGCGTTCCAGAATCTCTTCAAGAAACCTGGAGAAAATCAAGAATGACATATCAATTATAGGTTTCTTCTTTTGCTACTCCATGTTTACATTCCAGTGATCAAAGATAAAAAAAACTCTTTTTTTCACGACCACCAAGTCTAAGGATATGCTCGCTAAAGATCGTTTCGTGACGGTCCAAAGATTAGTTGTGAAAGACAGAAGTCCTAAGGCATTTCTCAGAGGAAACCAACGACGAGACACAAACGTGTACCAAACAGCCTTTATATTCACCGATCAATTAGTTCTTTGAATTGATACCTCCGAGAACTTAAATAAATAAAACAACGAAAAGGAATTTCTGGCTGGAAGACTTCATTCAGAAAACTGAAGTCTTTTTTAGGGCGTGTCCTTGTACGTAAGATATAGCTGAAAACAAGGCGCGCCGACTTCTTTCAATTTAATTTCGCCGTTCTGCAAAAACCTTTCGCCATTACTATAGTCAGTGACAGATTGGCAAGTGACAAGAAGGATTTCAACACACAATGACCTATACTGAGCTTTCGAGACTTGACTGACGTATTTTCATAGGCTTAAATCCTTATTTGACCATACTGAGTCTCTTAATTCTCGACTAACTCGTGGACTTCCCATTGCAGATATCGGCGCGAAACTAGACAAGGAATTTGTACAGCTTCTATATATTCGACTGTCTTGACTGAAATGTGACGCAGATTGTTTGCGATGATGTACTGGGACCGGGAGTTCTGACCCCGTGTAATTGAGAAACGTTTTCGAGGGAAAACGACCTCTTTTACAAATGGAGGAACACACCTTCTTCTCTAATTAAAGGCTATTCACAACACTTAAGATGAAGTCACGGAGAGATATCAAATTGCCCAGTTGAAATTAGACTACTACCAGTCCCTCTTTTTTAGTCCGTCGTGCGTGACGCGAAAGAAAACCGCGAGAAAAATATGCTGTTGTTTTTCTCGCGGTTTTCTTTCGCGTCACGCATGACGTACTAAAGCGAAAGAGGAACTACTCGTAGTCTGCGTTGAAATTAATATCTGTGTTTTGAGACTGTTAATTGTAAAACATGATCCACTGGATTTCATTTTCACATGGCCATTCCCGTTGTAGAAATACTAAACCAAAGAGAGCTAATATGAATAAATATGAATATAAAAATTAGTGTTAAATGGCCATTGTTGCAGGTGGTCCCCTTAGCTTGAAGGAACTAAAATATTTTGACCTTTTTTTTTGCCACAATCTTTCACTCTTTTCTGCCGCGTTTGAGCGAAAATCGGTGATTTGAGCTGTACCACCTCCTGCCTGGTGTCATCATGGACACATTCTTAAGAATAACCCCGAGGCTAAGATTTTGAAAAGAACAAGACGATCTAAGATCGTAAGTCGGGCTGTAGCTAGACGTGGTAAAACGAGTGTTAATCATTTGCGGTGCGCAGCGATTCTCTAAAAATAGCATGTACAGATGCATGTCTCAAAGAAATATCATGAAACCGTAATCATCACGAAAATATTGCTTATTTTAACTGACCGATAGATGAAAGTGAAAGTTACGTTAATCGTAGTGAGTTGATTTGAGTTGTGACTTCACTTATGTGTTTGAGGAGATTGGGGTCACTGTCTTCTTCTCTCACTGTTCACTGCAGTTATTTCATGTGAACTAATCTGCACTCCTTTGAGTTCATAATTGTCACCGAGTGAGTGTTTATAATAGTCTGGAAAAACTGTACTAAGCTCTCAATGGATGGTACTTCTAATAGTGCACATGCACCTGAGGGTTGGCTTCTACCATATTCGTCTCTTGCATAAGAATCAAATACCTTATAACTCCCATTATCAGTATGATAGATACTGACGCCAATACATTCTATTGTCAGAATAAATGAAGAATAGTTTTGTGATAAGAGTGATTCAAAAGCCCTGTTTTGAGACATAATGTACTGATATCCCTCGATTATCGAATCACAATGATTTAGATTACCAGTGCAGCTTTCACTGTAATAAATTAAGCTCGTAAATTATTTTTCTCAGACATAGCGATCTCCAATCATTGACGATAATTCTGTTTGCATTGAATACACCTGTCCTGTACATTGTGACAGTGTTGAATACAATAATTGATAATAACATCTCCATAATTTGTACCAGGTCATTACAGCTATGTATTCCCTTTATCTTATTAAAAATCAAAGCACTCAGACTCATAGCAACACATTGTTTTCCGATATCTTCACCAAAGTACATAATATCACCTTGATCATACGGTTGGTATGATTGGTTGAGAGCAGTGCAGTTCAGATGTAATACCAGTGCAAAAAGTGTAACACCAGTGCAAATTACACATCGGAATTCTGGATTATGATTGGATGAAAGACAATAAGAAATTTTCCAAGCCAACGATATCACGTAAAATGATGACGAAAATTTTCTGCGGAAACTTTAAACGAGTTTTCTCGAATGAGAAAAAATGGCTTCAAGAAAGATCTTCCGGCACTTCTTCCACGCGTTTATATTATTAATAAGTATATCATACGGTTTTTCTCGTGCAATTTGGAATTAATTTGCACTTGTGAGATTTTCAAAAAGCTGAAATTGCATTCGCCGAAGCGGCTCGTGCAATTTCAGCTTTTTGAAAAACTCACTCGTGCAAATTAATTCCAAATTGAACTCGAAACCGTATGATTACCTATACTAAAAATACTAAAAAAAAAACAAAAAATACAGTACACTACTTACACTACTTACAACCCAATACTACATTTTTTACACAGAACGGAAAAAAAGAAAGAGAGACTACTTACGAAGGATTAAGTAAAGAATTAAGTAAAGGTAAAACTAACATAATACAAAAAATAGTGTAGTCGAACACAAAAGACACGTTGAAATTGATACTTCTTCTAGTGCAAGAATTGTCCACTTAGCAAGAACTAAAGCGATAACTCATCCTTTGGCCTACCCGACAGCCCTCTCGGGCCGCCATTTAATGTCAAGCAACGCAAAAGCTTGAAAACTCAAACGTGCCCTATTACAAAACGAAGAATCTTGTCGAGCTAAAACGTTGTGAAACGCCAAGTTCCTAAAGGGTCTTATATCTGATAAAACTAAAACCTCCGAAGAAAAGGTAATCTTAAAAAAAAAATGACTACATCGCATGAAAACCAAGAATACATCACCACGTTATTTGATACCGCACAAACATACCTGCACAACGTAAGCGACAAAAGTAAGGGACCGTTCATTTTTTATGAGGGAGGGGGGGCTGGTGGGATTTGGGAAGCACCATTTAAAAATCGCATGACCCCCC